ATTTACCAGAATTACAAGTTAATCGAATGTTACCAATTTTAGAAGAAAATTCCATAGAAAATTTTGGAAAACCCAGTATTTGGACCATATTACTATATCTCGTATTTTCAAGCATCTGCTGCATAATCTTATATAGAAGATGGAGAAACAAGAAAGCATCCAAGTTAGAAATCGACATTGAATTAGCCGAGATGAAAGAAGAAGGTCCAAGTCCCACAAAACGCACTAGAAGAGAAGATTCCAGTTCAAGATATAAGAAGAAAGAAATTCACCTTCCAGGGGAAGCTTCATTCTAGGGGTGGAGGAGTTATGTACCAGTCTACAGAGAAGAATATGCTGAACAAGGACTTTTGCCTCCACGTTCCTTTCTTATCAGTTACAGTATTGTATTTCATTTGTTCTTTACTTTGGTTTGTATAATGAACTTTGCAGTCAGTCTCGATTCAGAACTCATTCAATTAACATCATTGTATTTGGTCTTTCTCAAAAATAAATCTTTTTAAAAACGTTTTCGTTGAAGAAAGATATTTGAGTTACATATACAATAATAGGTTAGGTGCGTGTTTTATATATATATATATATACAGGGTGACTTCAAAGTTGAGTCATTTATTTTAACAGTGAATAGATCTGATCAAAAGAAATGTTTTTTTTCCTTTAACATTTTTCTGGTAAAATTAAATTAACAAAGTTATAGCCCTTTAGAAATTTGAGTACCGCCCTGTCTCAATAATAATATTATGTGCTCGTGTTTGGCAACAACGGATATAATCCGCCTTATCGGTTCATCGCATCGGAAACAAAAAAGCGAAAGGATTTGAAACGCTTATCACGATGTTTTTAGTTGTATTCAGTCAATGTGTCAGTCGGTAACGCGTGGCACATGTTTACGAAAATGGTGAACTTGTGGACATGATTCTTATTTACCGGGGGGAGGGAGTCTTTACAAAATGTTGCCGCGGCATCACGGATTTATGCGGATCGGTTTCCCAATCGAGTGCAACCAACCCCTCGTGCCTTTGTTAATGTAGTACAAAGGGCTCATGAATCAGCATGCCGGTGCTCCAAGACCGCACGATTAAATACAGGTCCGCACTGAAATACTTGTCGGGAGGATACTTTATAAAACAAGGTAACATTTTTTTTTTATTTTTTTTTATTTTACAGACATATTTTGGTTTATCTTCCTTCTACAATCATTATCTGAAAATTAATGACTCAACTTCAAAGTCACCCTGTATATATATATATACAGGGTGACTTCGAAGTTGAGTCATTTATTTTAACAGTGAGTAGATCTGATCAAAAGAAATGTTTTTTTCCTTTACCATTTTTCTGGTAAAATTAAAGTAACAAAGTTATAGCCCTTTGGAAGTTTGAGTACCGCCCTGTTCAATAATACTCGTAATATCATGTGCTCGTGTTTGGCAACAACGGATATAATCCGCCTCGGTTCATCGCATCGGAAACAAAAAAGCGAAAGAATTTGGAACGATGTTTTACAATTATTTTCTTCAGTTCAGTTATACATACAGTCAATGTCAGTCGGTAAGGCGTGTGAATAGTGTCTGTTGCGTGGCTCAAACGAAATAAAAAATGGCACAAGTTTATGCGGATCGGTTTCCCAATCGAGTGCAACCAACCCCTCGTGCCTTTGTTAATGTAGTACAACGGGCTCGTGAATCAAGTGACTTAAGACCTCACAGGAGACCTCACGATCAAATACAGGTCCGCACTGAAATACTTGTCGGGAGGATACTTTATAAAACAAGGTAAAATTTTTTTTTTAATTTTTATTTTATTTTTACACACATATTTTGGTTTATCTTCCTTCTACAATCATTATCTGAAAATTAATGACTCAACTTCAAAGTCACCCTGTATATATATATATAAATATATATAAATTCGAAAAAGTAACAAATAAGATGAAAGCTGAGGTCAGTAAGTTTGTTTTGATACATAATTCAGCACTCCAAATTTCAAAATGGCGGGCTGAGGGGTTGCCGAAGTGGGGGGTTTTTCTAGACAAAACACCTTATATCTCAGTAGCTAATTACCAAAGCCCCATAGTAAGATATATCAATTTTCTTCTTTGGAATTGGTTTATCCAAATATGCAATAAAATTTGAGGCATTCCATTTGAAAAATCACAACTTTGATATGTAGGTCGAAATTGGGACACCCTGTGTAATGGCCAATATTTTACAAATGTGTCCTCAAATATCATGTACAATATCCCATAAATAGATTTTCCCAAAATGTATTTGTTTATGTTTAACATTCTGTCCACACATGGATGGGCCACCCTGTATATATATAGAGAATATGATCATGCGGAGAAAGGTATACAACAACAAGTAGGAAAATAATGGGCAAAATCCGCAAAAAGGAGGAAAGTGGATTCGAGCAGAAAATAGGATAGGTAACCCGAGCGATACGTATTTCTCTCTCTACAAAGAGATCCTTTGGGCTTGAAGTACCACAGCAAGTGGCTATAACCGGCCGCGTGGTGGTGGTTAGACGTCTCCTTGAAAATTCGAGGTCGTATAGCCATTTTATACTACAATGTATAGGTTGGCTCTTGTTGTGGACTTCGTGTGTCGTTTTTGTTTTCCTTTTTCCCCTCCAACTTAGTTTCCTCAGGTTACACCCGTATCCGGATGTGTGGGCATGTGTATCTACTTTTGTAGTTTCATATGTGCATTCATTTCGGGCCTGATGAAGCCAACCAGCAGAAATACGTATCGCTCGGGTTACCTATTCTATTTTCTGCTCGAATCCACTTTCCTCCTTTTTGCGGATTTTGCCCATTATTTTCTTACTTGTATATAAAATATATACAAAAAGTATATTGTATATATATATATAAACAAGTAGGAAAATAAAGGGCAAAATCCGCAAAAAGGAGAAATTGCTGGACGTGGGCTTGAAACCCGCTAAGTAGGAAGTGTTTTCTCTGAATCATGGTGTGACAAGTATATTTATTACATACTCGTAATATGGGCTCGGGTTTTCGGCAACAGTTACAAATCCTTCACGCGACTAAAAAAAACAAAAAAAAGGAAATTGATGTCATTGATAAGCATGTATCGCGGAGTATTTGACGATTCGACAACTTAACTAAAACCGATCTTTTTGCGCTGAGGAGACTTAGGTTCTCCGTTAAGAAATCCGCTATCGCAAATTGTCATTTTTGAATTCCGATGGCGCCAAATTTATAATCAGCTGTTCTCATATATTATGCCGTACGTAGGTGCCTTCTTTTCTTCACCAATATATTTTTCATGGACTGACAAAACGGGATAACACAAAGTCATCAAAAATTCACCACGTCAAAGAAATGAAAAAACTCATTTTATTTTTACTTTTTCGTCGTAACTACCCCTAGTGATGTGCATACGGGTAGCTATTGCATTGATATTGGAATGGAAGCAATAAATCGATATATTGAAAAGATCTATTTATCTAACTATGAATCCAATCTCATGAAATACTCAGTGATAATAGAAGTGATGCACCCAGAAAAAATAATTTCTTCAACGTGATTATTTGGCAATGAGGCAGTCTTACGTCAAGAATGAAACGATAAGATTCTCACAAAATTTTATTGACAAGTAATAAGAAAAAAATTAATGTGTTGGGCGACCCAGCAGCTGATATACTGTATACGTCTAGACATCGACAAAATGAGATGATCGATGTCTGGTTGTGGCACCTCATTCCAAGCAACCCGGACTTCGTAGATTAGCTGTGGCAGAGTCTGTGGCGGATGGCGCAAAGTGGATAGTCTCCTCCCAAGTTCGCGATAGGACAAACCAACATCTCGATAGGCAATAATTCTACCCTTGTCAAACTCGCTAACATGGTGATAATTTGGACGTCTTCGAACTCGAGGCGTTTGTTACTGTACTATAGCAGAATACCAAAATTGATGACATTAGCGAAACTCATCGTACGCCACTGCTATTACGCGGACTCCTTCGAAAATGCGGCGCTTCTTTGTGAAATGTCAGTAAACGTCGCTGTAATCAAAATGTACAGCGTCAAAGCAGTGACGCTCGATGACTTCTGCTACAGTCATCAATTCTGGTATTTGACTATACTCAGTTCTCAGAAACTGCTTTCTCCACAAAAACTAAGAGATAGCATGTTAACAAACTTAAATAAAAACAAAGATAAAACGTTGACATTGTTGCCACAGCATGCTTCAAATGTAGCTATTATATTGCCAAAAAACAAGTTGAATAAATTACTTCTTCTGGCTGTAATATATCTAATTCTACTGAGTGATGTTTCAGAAACAGTACGAAATATTCCTCATCCCTCATTTCAATAATGTCTCTGAAACATAAATTGCGAAATATTACAAAATCAATATTTCTAAAACGGAATACCAATTTTGAAATGTAATATTGCTAAAGGGGACCTCGGTTGGCCGCGTAGGTCAGAGTGTCGTGCTACTGATCAGCCGGCCGGCCGGGCCGCGAGTTCGAATCTCGCCTTCGCCATGGATGTTGTGTGTTTGTTTTAGGCAGCAGCGGTGGCCGCAGTAGTAGACTCTTCGGTCTCCTGATCAGCCGCCGTGCGCTGGGCGGGTTCGAGTCCCGTCCCAGGAGAAATTTTTCTCTTGGCCATGGATGTTGTGATTGTCCGTAGGTGGTAGATGGTCTCTGACTGTCGAACGCGGAGGTACCACCCGGCGGTTCTCGTAGGCGGAGCCAGAATGTGTGCATGTTGCATGCACACGTGTTCCCTCGTCAGAGTCCGTGTGGCGTCCCCCCTTTCCCATGTATCCCCCATAGCCCCACGGTACCCAATGGGTGCTTAGGCCTTAGGCCTTCGTGGTAGTTGGAGTATAAAAAAAAAAAAAAGATATCTAATATACCGGAAGTATCTCTGAAAACGAATGTGCTGTGTGGGTATTTCCACCACAAATCAAGATTCCCCAGGTTGTAACAAACCTAAGAACATACGTGATGATAAAATGGAAAATATACCTGCTGACTTTACAGACATAAGATCATTAGATGATTTTTTATCCTGTTCGTAGACAAAATCAAATATCTTGATGTTGTCTAACAATTTCTGCTCTCGTGCTTCTTGATACGTGACCTGGCGACCGGATTCCGTGACTAATAAACCAGTGGAAGTAATCTTCAAACCTTTAGTAGCAGGTAAGTCTAAAAAAAATGAAACGCTGTGAGCTTATGATATAATTTATTTTGGCGCATAATTTTCTCCGATTTACATGTTACTCATTTTTTACACTACATTTCGTAATTTGAATTTAATGCGATATTCAACTAGCGATCTTTGTCAAATTGTCACATTTTCTGGATGTAATTTCGCACATATATTGGAAGCAGAGGACCAAATTACCTAGAAAAAAGAATACCCTATATAACTTAGTCAAGCATAGTCAAAATTATAGCTAAAGCGACACGATAAAAGTGATAGTTAACCTATTTAATTAAGTCTTATTTAGAATTATTGTCAGACTAACATTGATAAGTAACAAAGATGGTAAGTATTTCACGTTTTGTTTTATGTTACAGTTTCTGTCAACGTCTTGTCATTCGTCTCATACCGGGGACAAGAAAAGCTTTGTAGAAGTTTCAATAAAGTCTTAGTTAAACCGGATGTGGGTGATGAGTTCTTACATAATAGGTGTTGAGTTGACGAGAATTAATGTATTTTAGCATTTTTAGGCAAATATTAGTATGTGTGGACATTTGTTGAATTATACACAGTGACATTAGAAGTGTTATACCCAGAAAAAATAATGTCTTCATCTTGATTTTTTGGCAATGATGTAATCTTACATCAAGAATGAAAGGATAACATTCTCACGAAATTGTATGGACAATAAGAAAAAAAAAACGCACCTGAAAAGACACTTGCATCGACAAAATGAGATGATCGATAATCAAATTCAAGCGAATAACCAAATGAAAATGGTATTTACCATTTTGGATTGGTATTTACCGATCCGTTCAGGCGAGTGCGGATATCACTTTGGTTATAAGATCCGTGACGACATGAATCAGCTGTTATATGTCATAGTTATCACCGTAAAATTGTGGTATTTACCCAACTCCGGAGTAGTAGTAGTAGTAGAAAGATTTATTTAGCACATTTGGCTACATAAACAGAACAATTGTAAACAACTTAGAACTAGTAAATTCAAGCCATATGGTGTATGATGTAAATGCTGGGCAACCTATAATTATTGTAGATTTAACAAGTGATTTCTCAATTTTACTTTAAATTTTGTCAAAGTTTTCTGGTCTTTTATCTCCGAGTATAATTTATTATATTCAATCAACCCTTGATGGAATACAGATTTTGTTTTACTTTTTGGTCATTAAATGGAAGTCATCTTTATTTCTGGTATTATGTAAATGATGGTCGACATTTGATGATGTTAAATTAGTTAGACTTGATGGAAATATATTATTTTTTACTTTATAATTGAATATCATTACAAGATATTTGATAAAATTTTTTACATTGAGCCATTTTAATTTGCTAAGCATTTGCCTAATTGGAGTATATTTATCTTTATTCAGTATTATTCTCATGCACTTATTTTGTTAAATTTGCAGTCTTTCAAAAATGGAATTATTTGCTAAATATAGAATAGTCGAACAGTACAAGAAATTTGGAAGAATGATGGTATTATAGATAATTTTTCTGCTATATGAACTCAGACATCCAGAAACTCTCGATAAATATCCCACTTTACTACTAATCTTATTTATAACTTTTTCATAATGAATATCAAAAATTAATCGAGAGTCAACAAAAACCCCCAGGTATTTAAAATTTTCTACGAATTCAATATCTTCACCATCAATATTCAGTTGAACATTTGTACATTGTTTATTTCCGATTAACAAGGCTTTCGTTTTACTTGCATTTAATTTTAGTCTGTTAGATGCTAACCATTTTGAGACAAGCTTCAGGTCTTCATTTATATAAGAGATACCAGACTGAATATTTTGAGTACTTATATAAATCATAGTGTCATCGGCGAAAATCTGAATTTTGCATTTTTTTACTATGGAGGTAAATCATTTATGTATAAAATAAAAAGAAGTGGTCCCAGGATACTGCCCTGTGGAACACCCAATGTATTTTCAATTTTTGATGAAATAGTGTCATTAACTTTTGTAACTTGCATCCTTTTAGACAAATAATTTCTAAACCAATCTAAAACACTTCCTGTTATACCATATGCCTTCAATTTACCTAACAAAATATCTCTATCAGTCGTTTCAAATCCAAAAATACTGCTATGACTACTTTGAAATAATTTTTAGCTATTTTCAAACGTATGTACCCACCTGAAACGTTATCTACGGCACGAGTCTTCCATCCTTCCGTTTGCATTTCCGTAAATCTCTCCATAACTGCCTCAACATTTTCCATTGCTATAAAATTCTTGACATCTTCCAAACTAAACTGTTTTTCTTCCATTATAGCCTTCTCTGCTTCCAGTAGTAATAGTAAATTCGAAAAATTCTTTTTCATCACTTCCAAACCATCGTCGAGTATGTTTACTGACTTTTCGTAACGAGCTTGCGCTTCCTGGAATATTGACGTCTCTCTTCAATTTTAGAAGACTATTTTGAGAAAAGGCGTAAAAAGTACTGAAAATACATGTACGCTAAAAGGTGCAAGGTTGGGGCGTACACATGGCAGCGATCCAAGAACACGTTCCAATTTGAACGTATCGGGTGCACATGCCCTTACATCTAAAGGCAAAAGCCCACGTTGAGTTCGATTTTTGCCAGGTTGAGAAGTCCAGTGTGATGCGCCAAGCGTAATTTGTGGCCAAGCGCTTTGTTTTGTCATGTTTAAAACCGCAACGCAGGAAGTGCAGGCGCGTCTGTAAATAGTGAGGAAGAATTTTGGGTGTAAAATCAGTAGGAGACTCTATAGCGTATGAAACCAACTCTGATAAGACGTACATCAATCTTTGAGGCTGATGATGATAAATGAAAGTGCAGATTCATTCCTGAGACATATGTGTAGAACTCTCTAAAGGTGCTGATAGTTTGGATAGTAAACTGTTGTTCCATTTTAAAATTTTCGAAAATGATAACAGAATCTTTAGGGTTTAAAACCCCCACCTGAAGCTTTTTTGTATTATGTTTTTCAGTTAAAATCAATATTTCTTTCCTTATTTGAAAAATTAAGCTTAGAGCAGAGCATATCTCATAAATTGTGAGACATTATAAAAGATATAGGGTTTCAACATCCTTGTACACAATTTACTGTTTTCTGAAAAGATCTAAACATTAGGCTCAGAGCTGAGGCACGTTTTTTATGAAGGGTTATCCGCCCTATTCAGCTAGATTCAATGTATATGCGACCATCAAGCAATTAGCTAATCAATCAATCCCTTAATAAGAATTGCATCCCAACATTTTTTCCGTAAAGTTCTAGTGAAATGCCGAATTCGGATGTCTTTTATAAATTTCTCTCGGTGTAGTTATACTACAACTATTTAAAACTGTAATGACTCATACGCGTGATCAACACGTGATCAGAGCTCGATCCCGGCTTCCTTCCAGTACAGCCGTATAGCGTACGACATATGTCGTTTCTGTGGCTTTGCGGTGGTCAACAGCACAGACAGAGATGGAAATAATGGCTGATTGTTCTCCGCCGGTAGAACCAATGAAATCAAAGACGCGCCTCGACCGGCCGACTCATAGGCGTCGGCAACGCATTGGAACGTGTTTCGTTGAGCGATCGCATATTGTGTGTTTTTATAAGAATTGTTGTGTGGTTGTTATTGTTGTGGTTTCTGTGGTTACTGTTTTGGTTATACTTAACCATGGAGAGTAGAAATGGCACGAGTGGAAGTACTGAAAGCCAGGGAACAAGTAGACGGCTTCGTAAAGCACTGAAGAGGGACGCGAATCGTGCTCAACGTGTTCAATTATCTGAACAGAACTATGTCGCAGGTAGATGCACTCGCGCGTTGTGAAAGTTTGACAGGCATTCCAGAGTGGACCATTCGCAGGGTGGTGCATGAAAAGAAGAAAACTGGAGCTACTACTGATCCAAAGTTTAATTTGCAGGGACGAAAGGCCGTTAAATTGGATGACGATAGCAAAATGGCGTTAAGGCGAACCGTACATTCATTCTTCTTTAGGAATGAGATACCAACCCTCAAGGCTGTATATGCAGCGATCAAGGAAAATGAAATTATACCCCAAATGAACGTCGAGGTAATGAGGAAATCCCTGCACGAAATTAATTTTCGTTACGAAACGCGTAATCGGAAGTCAGTATTGATAGAGAGACCTGAAATAGTCGCCTGGCGTCGAAAATACCTTCGCGAAATGATTGAATATAGGCGACAAAGCAGAAAAATCTATTATTTGGACGAGACATGGGTAAATGCAGGTCACACAGTTAAAAAACCTGGATAGACAAAAACGTAGTGAGTAACCGACAAGCAAGCATTGAAGGTTTGTCAACAGGTCTTCGTGGACCGTCAGGGAAAGGTCAAAGATTGATCGTAACTCATATTGATAGCGATAGTGGCTTTTTAGAAGAGTGTGACTTGATTTTCGTCTCTAAGAAAGGAGGTGATTACCATGACGAAATGAATGCCAGCTGCTTCGAGAGCTGGTTTCAAGGGGTGCTTCAGCGAGTTGAGCCCAACTCTGTGATCGTTATGGATAATGCTTCCTACCATAGTCGTCGAGCCGAACGTGTACCGACTATGGGATCTCGAAAAAGTGACATGCAGCAATGGTTGCGCGAAAAAGGAATCCCGTTTGACGATTCATGTGTGAAAGCGGAATTGTATGAAAAAATTAAACAGCACAAACCTGCGAACATTAGTTACGTGACTGATGAGATGGCCCGTCAATGTGGTGTCACTGTGCTGCGGTTACCGCCCTACCACTGTGAACTGAACCCAATAGAGCTCATCTGGGCTCAAGTGAAGGGTTATATTGCGCGCCATAACACAACCTTCAAATTACCAGAAGTTAAGGTTTTACTTGAGACTTCCATACAGCTAGTAACGCCCGAAGCTTGGCAGAATGCTATCCGTCATGTTGTGAAGGAAGAAACAAAAATGTGGCAGCTTGACCACCACATCGACACCATCATAGAGCCAGTTATAGTCAATTTCAACGAGGAAAGCGATAGCGACAGTTTATTACTGTCAGATGTAAGTGGAAGCGACGATGAATAAAGGTAATTCCCAAATTTTTGACTTACAATATGTTTCAAACCACTCTTTATTAAGCATGTGACAAATCTAGTTCACCCATGTTGAACATTCATACCCCGCCTATGAACAGCCGACTACTGGTAGTTAAGCGATGTTCACGTGAACATCGATGAGTCATTACAGTTTTAGATAGTTATAGTATAGTAAGCGAAATCCAGGGGTTGACTACGAAGGGCGAATTGTAATCGTAAAATAGGTAGCCTTTCATCAAATTAAATGAAATAACAGAAATTGGCAGGCTGTAACTGAATTTGCCGCGCCGACTGTACTTCTATATCCGTCGGCTATTACCGTTTCTTTGAGACATCCACCGTCTCACTATGTTTTCTGCGCATCTCGCGGCTCAAGCTGGAATTGCCAACCTGTACTCTCACACCAATTTATCACAACTAATTTATTACAAATTTATGAGGATGTCGAAGTTCCTGCCCTGGTCGGGGTGTAGTTCTACATAATACTGCTTCATCTTGGACTTCGGCTGCCGCAGCAGACTTACTGTTTATTTATTATATGTACATAAATCACATATCAAGCTTATTACGAATGCCGTAATATTAACGTTTTTGCGGTCGTACAGACGTTGGAACGCTTCCATGTCTGAAGAATTCAGTTGTCATTATAATTGCATGATCAAACGAACTTACCTGTTAGTGATGCTTGATCTCAATTATGTGAAGGCCTCCTCGAAGTAAATAGAACAGCTGTAGTCCTCCGTTTAACGACCAGACACACGAATTCAAAGCGTGCACGCAACGAAGAAAAGCAGTAACCGCGCCCTCCCAGCTTCCTCCTCCCCGGCGCCTGACCGACAAACTCTCATTTTCTTCAAAGTCAAGTTGTTGCAACTATTAGGTGATGGTGATACGTAGGGAAGGAGGGAGCTATTTACTTCGACGAGGCCTTCACATAATTAAGAATGAGCACTTACAGGTAAATTCGTTTGATCACGTGATTATGTCCCGGCCTCGTCCTCGTCTCGTAATTAGAATAGGCGTAGATGTTCAAAGCGAGTTCCAGCAACATACTACTAATTTTCTGCAATAGTAAACGATAGGTTTTACACAACTACACAAATTGTACACAATGCATGTGTCAACTAAACTTACCTTTCCCGTGTAACAGTTAAAGTTAGGGCTTTTATCAACAGGTAATGGGACGTACATAGTTTCAAAAATAAAAATACCATCTCTTACATGGTAACAAGCAAATAACGTAATAACAACTGTGTTTATGGCGTGAAAACATGGTTTACCTCAAATGCCGCTTAAGCAAAGTTGTTGTTAGGCTTAAGAAATTTGCGAAGTGTCTCAGAAAATGCGCTCCAGCCCGCCGCGAGACTGAGCGTACTATAATCTAGTTGGCGCAGAAGTAGACGCGTTTCTGTGGGTTGTCAATTGTGACACATCTAGACCACTCTCTGCCTAAACAGACTTTATCCATCTGCATATAGTGGGTGATGACAATGACAAAGTTTATTTACAGTGACAAATAAATCACTGGTCAACACTGGTTTTGCCACACGAACTTTGACAGCTAATTTTGTTTTATCAGTCTACCCTCATTATTACATGACAGCTGTCATATGTCTATTAGCCTCATATTTGTTGTGATACGGTAATACTCATAACTAGTACTACGGCAGTAAATTAACAGAAACGCTTACAAGTAAATCCTTATAAAAATATTTGTTGTTGAATTTGAACACTTTTTTGTGATTTATTAACCCTGTGAATATGTCGAGGAAGTGTAATAATGATCTTAACTCTTTTTGTTATGTCTGCCGAGAACTAACATTCAAAAAACAACGATGAAATTTTACGAATCTTGTGTTGGAGTATTATCACCAATGTTTTGGTTTTTCTGTCGCCCATCAAGACAAATCCTGGGCCCCTCATGTCTGTTGCATAAAGTGTGTGAAAAATTTAACTGACTGGAAGAAAGGTGCACGACCTATGCCGTTTGCTGTACCCATGATATGGACTGAACAGCGAGATCACGTTTCAGATTGCTATTTTTGTCTCACAGACATAAAAGGTATAAATTACAAGAAAAAAACCACAGTTATTTACCCTAACTTATCTTCGGCTATAAGACCAGTCTCTCATTGTAAAAAATTGCCAGAACTAATACTACGTCTGTTGAGAACAATTCACAACCGTCCACTTCAGGTGAATGTGTTGACGAGGACGATGATTTTGAGTTAAAAGGAATTGTAAACGAGCCACATTTGATAACTCAAGGAGACCTAAATGATTTGGTTCGGGATTTAAATTTGTCAAAAAAGCAGTCAGAACTATTAGGATCACGTCTAAAAGAATGGAATTTGCTA